TTAAAAACTGAGATTATTCATAATATATTTTGTAAAAGTGAAATTTGTTTAATATAAAAATCAACAACAAGTCCACTTTTATTGGTTCTATTTAATCTTGCAATGAGTTTACTTGTGTGGCCCCCTGCAGATCAGATTAAGCTGTATGCGGCCCCTAAACCAAAATGAGTTTGACACCCCGGCTCTAAACTTTCAATGTTTGCTGAACATTAACTGAAAATTTAATCAGGAAGCTTTTTGGAGTCCTTGAAAGTGAAAAACATTTCTTGGTCACTATTGTGACTGGTGAGGTGAAATGGGTTGTCAGGCTGTCGCTGTTCATGGAGAACTGTCGATCAATAAGATCAATCACCTTTAGACTGATAATCAATAACCTGCATCTGTTCTCTGAACCAGCTGAAGGCCTGCTGCTAAGGCAGTGCTGCCCCCTGGAGGCGTCTGCAGGGACCTGCATCATCAACGACCTGATCTGGAAACTAAAGAGGAATCTGGACTTGAGATGGTCAACAGGCTGGAGCTCAGCGGCTAATTCACGCAGGCCTGTCACAATAAGCAATAATCAATTCATTCAATTTAATATCAGTGAAAAGAGAAACACTACCTGCCCCTTTAGCCTGTTTTCCCCGTCATAATAATGATTACTGTTATTATGATTATTAATTTTTAAATATAATTTTGGTAACAGAAACTTTATAATCTATTTGTTTGTTTTCTTTTAGTTTGGACATTTTAAATGTTTTCTGGCTCCAGTGTTAAATTTCCTTTAGAAATTAAAGTTTTCTTGATCTTGCATTATTATGTCATTGACAGTAATATTATAAATAATATTATAATATTTTATATTTGTTGGAAATGGTTTCAAAATGACAATATTATTATTGATCATAATAACTTCTGGGACATTTTATCGTCCAGCATCGTTTGTTGTGGGGACAGGCTGAAGGTTGATGTTGGGTCGCTAACATGAACAGAACCAGAACCCGTCCAGAACTCAGACGGTTCAGAACCGGTGACCAGTGGATAACTGGGCTCCTCTCACCTCCAGAACCTCCTGGCGCTCCTGGACAACGGCCGGGCTGCAGGGGTCCGATCGGACCGGAACCAGCTCCTCTCCGGCGTACGGGACGAGCTGAACACACACAACCACACGGATCGGATCCGATCCTAACGAATACGCTGTTAGAACCCGGGTCCAGCTCGGCCCTCACCTCCGTCGGCGCCTCCTGGAGGTCAGAGGTCATCTCCACGCAGCGCTCGTACAGCAGCCGCAGCTTCCTGAAGAGCAGGGCCAGCTGCCGCAGGTGTTCCTGCAGCTTCCCGAACCGGTCCTGGTACACGGCGTGGCTCTGGGTCACTCCGTTAGGCAGCTGGGTCACACAGGGAGATGTCAGAACCAGAACCAGAACCACATCTGGACCACTCAGGAAGATTTTTTTTTCCATTTAAGCTGGACAGTCTGTTTTGTTTTTAAATTAAAGATCAAATCAAAGATAAATAAACTGGCAAAAACATAAATAAATAAAAATAAAAAACTATTTAAAAACCCGTCAGGAGTTCCATTAGAACCACATGGTGTCCTTCTATCCACTGGAGAACCTGACCCCAAAGTGTCTGTGAACACCCCTGGTTCCGTTTCTCTACCGGTTCGGTTCACTCCGCCAGAAATGAAACCCAGAGGAGATTCTGGATTACTGAGGTTCCTTCGAACCTTCTCGGACCTGAAACGTGCTAAGGTCGGGTTTAAGGTTCTCCAGAGCCCCGGTAATCCTGCCGGAGCAGATCCGGGTCTCCTTGCCCCACCCGGACACACCTGCGGCCCCGCGGCCTCTCACCTGCGTGGCGCGCGTGATCTGGAAGATCTCCATGGTGCGCGTGACGATGTCCTGCACGGTCTCCTGGCCGATCCTGCAGAGGAACACCGGGGAGATCTCCCGGAGCGCCCCGGGCGGAGGCTGCTGCTGCTGGGGCGGCAGGCCGGCGAGCTGCGGGAGCGGCGCCGCCATCAGGCCGGGGCAGGAAGTGACCGCGGGGGGCTGATTAACCTCTGGGCGGCTGATGTTTGATACCAGACGCTCCTCTGCTCATTTAAACCCACCGATCCTCCACTCTGCTCACCGCGGGCTCTGTGCGTCACTTCCGGCTGCTGGTGGGCACCATCAAATCCACATACTGCCCCCTGCTGGTGGAACCTGGTCATTACAGCCAACTCACGGGGAATGACGTCACCAAGCCAGGTGAAGAAACAAAGTTTGTCTCATCTAAATACAAATTTAATGTAATAAATTAATTCCTCTGGTCTCGCATTAAATCCTACCGGAAGTTCAATGCTGGACTCTCTCCACCAGAGGGCGACAGAAATTCAGATTTTAGTCTTTTTATTTTTCTAACCTGTGTGAAGATGAGACCATAAACCTGTTTATGATAAAGTTTATAATTAACTAGAATAATTAATGGGTGTTTGTATCAAATTATGGGATGCCGTTTTTATTGCTCTGCAATAATTTGTCATAAAAGAAAAAAAAATGGGGGTTAATTTTTCAAAGGAACATTTTCACCTTGTTTATTCATTTATAAATGTCAGTTTCAAACTAAATATTTAGCTAACAAGTTAAATGGTAAATATTTAGGTCAGAGCTAAATGTTTAACTTCAAACTAAATGTTTAGATTGTGAAATGTTTAGTTTGGGGCAAAAATATATAGTCTGTAAACTAAATGTTTAGTTTAACTCAATATTTAGCATTTATGTTTAAACGCCAGTTTAATGATGGAAATATGTGACTTGTCACTTATTAACTTGCTTTAACCTGGTTCTTCATTGAACCAGGTTAAAGCTTAAAATGCAAGAATAAAAGCTTTGGCTAAATTAAAAATAGCCAAATGTAACTTTTAACTCTGAAATGTTTGACTGAAAATCTGCAGAATGTCAGGAAAGAAGAGATGAAGGATGTTGGTGGATCTTATCCAGCCAGCATCACGGCGGATCAGTTTCTACCCAGCATGTAAATATCAGCTGCGTTTGCATGAGCTCCGGTTTCCTAGGAGATATGAGGGACATCCGAGTCACGACTGAATGCAATGTGATCAAAATAAAGACTGGTTCAGTTTAGGAGCTTTAAATTACTGCTGATTACAGCATCATCATCATCATCATCATCATCATCATCATGCCAGGTTATTATAGGAGGAAGAACGCAAGTCAACATAACACATCAGTCATATTTACATCTACATCATTTACTTCATAGATTGACATGGGTTTTTAATATTTATATGCATTTGGTTGGTTTTATTCATTTATCTGGTTAAAAATAACTGAACTGAACTAAACTATAAAATCTCTAAACTTAGAGGAGATCTCCTGCAGCTGTTTTATGTTATTTGTTATATTTTACTGTTTTATTTGTTTGTTTTTTGTGTTTTATAACTGAAATGATTCATTCAGACCCGCCTACTGTTTTCATAAAGTGAGCTCCAACCAACACACACCAAACTGTTTAGGACCAAATGCAGAAGTTGAGTTTATTACAACATTTCAGGAACAGGCAAGTCGACGTGCTTCACTGATAAAAAACAGAATACAGACCCAACTGAATACAAAGGAGTTGTTCCTCCACACTGTCGCCACATGCTTGTTGGGTTTTCGTCACAGAAAATCTTTCTGTTAGCACCAGAACGTTACTGCGTTAAATTAATTACATAGACTTTAACATGTCAAAAATGAACACAATCAGTTGAATTTTTCATGGCCAACCTGGAACCTTTGGATTAGTGTGTTTCTGGTACGACCGTAAATCTGACGCACATCTGCCAACAGCAGGCTCTTTGCATGTCTGCTTCCATGTTCAGGGCAGGGGCGCCGCCAGGAATCTTAGGCCCCCTGACAAAAAAATTGAGGGGGAGGAAGGATGAGCAGCACCACATGAGATTGTGATTGACGGCACTAAAACTCTCCTGCCACTGACTGGTTGTTTCTAGCACTGGGAGAAAGTCTCATTGAAGATGTGAATGCAGCATTGAGAACGATCCCTACCAACACCTTAACAGAAACCAATGAGCTGATATACAACTCAGCAGCAACAGCAACAGCAGCAGCAATTCAACAACTTGAGATGCTTGGCTATAAGAGCAACCATGAGACCCAATATCCATCATGGAAAAGACGGTTAGAGGCTAAGATCAAGATAACAAGGAGGGAAGTGAGCCAGCTGTCAGAGCTCCTAAGGGGTGCAATGAAAAGATCAGTACCCAAGAAGTACAGCCAGATGCCCATACCTGAAGCACTCGAAACTGCCAAACAAAGACTCCAAGCCTTGGCCAGCCGCCTAAAGAGATACACAAGAGAGTTGTTAGTACTGTTAGTACTGTTGTTAGTACCGGCAGGGTACTAACAACACAGCACCAGGACCTGACATGATCCATGCCTACTGGCTAAAGAAACTCACTGCCCTCCATGAGCGACTGGCAGCTCAACTGAACCAGCTGCTACAGAATGGGACTCACCCTGAATGGTTAACTGAAGGGCGCACAATCCTGATCCAGAAGGATCCCTCAAAGGGTTCAGTCCCATCCAACTATCGGCCAATAACCTGTCTCTCTACAACATGGAAGCTCATATCAGGCATAAATACATGAGCACGGCACAGAAGGGCATCGGCATAAATAGCAGAGGAGCCAAACACCAACTCCTTGTAGAGTGCAAAACCCGACACACCAACCTGTGCACCGCTTGGATTGATTACAAGAAAGCCTATGA